AATGGAATCAGCAAGTAACGACGTCACAAAATTGGATCAACAACATGCAGTTAATTATCATAAACAGCTCAAGAGTAAGAAGTATCAAAACAACGTCGGGAACAGGATACCACCAACAAAAGATAATGGGAAGGCTACTACATCAAATGCCAATGGTAAAAAGGATATGGTTTGTTATTGTTGTGGGACAAAGGGTCACACAAAGCCATTTTGTAAGTACAAATCATATTCATGTTCAAATTGTTCTAAGTTAGGTCATCTAAAAAAAGTGTGTAAAGCTAAGGTAAAAAAAGTTAATAATTTAGAACAATGTGATGTCGATTTAAACTTAGATAATTTATTCAATTTAGAAACTGTTAATGTTAATTATGTTCAACCTTATTGGGTGAAATTGAGTGTTGAGGATAAAATTGTGGAGTTTCAAATAGATACGGGTTCGAGTATGACTGTTATAAATGTTAATGATTTAAAAAATTATGAGATTAAATATTTGAACAGAGTGGAACAATCTAATGTGCGGTTGAAAACTTATAACAATTCTGTCATTGTGCCTTTAGGTGTATTAAAAGTTAGAGTTCAATATAAAGATGTTTGTAAAGAATTGGAAATGGTTGTTGTTAAAGAGGGTGGTCCTCCAATTCTTGGTCGGGAATGGTTGACTAAGTTAAGTATTCCAATGTTTTCTGGTACTTATTCATTATGTAAATTAACATCATACCAGAATGTGTTACAAACTTTTCCGTCTGTGTTTAATGATATTTTGGGTTGTTATAAGCACAAAATGTTTGATTTAATTCTTAAAAAAGATTTTAAGCCTGTTTTTCTTAAACCCAGAGTATTACCATTTGCCTTAAAAGGTAAAGTTAGCGATGAGATTGATAGACTAGTGAATACAAATTTGCTAGTGCCTGTAGAAACTTCAGATTGGGGTACGCCTATAGTTCCTGTTAAAAAAAGTGATGGGACTATAAGACTATGTGGGGATTATAAAGTTACACTTAATAAGTATTTAGAAATAGATAGATATCCTATTCCTAGAGTAGCTGATCTAATGATTGTGTTTCAGGGGGCTGCAAAGTTTTGTTCGTTAGATTTGTGCCAAGCGTATCAGCAGTTGGTACTTAGTGAAGAGAGTAAAAAACTAACAACTATATCTACTTTTAAAGGATTGTTTATGTTTAATCGATTACCATATGGTATAGCCTCAGCTCCAGGGTTATTACAAAGAGAAATGGAAAAATTATTAAGTGCTATACCAGGCACTGTATGTTTTTACGATGATATTGTAATAGCTGGGAAAGATGACAAAGAATTAAGTGATAGACTGTATAGTGTTTTAGATAAACTTTCTTTGGCAGGTTTAACGGTAAAGAAAGAAAAATGTAATTTTTTTACCGACCATGTTACATTTTTAGGTTACAAGGTAGATAAAAATGGTCTCCATATACCCGATGAAAGAATTAAAGCAATTAATAATGTGGCAATACCTAAAAGTACACAGGATGTTAAGGCATTTTTGGGTTTGGTTAATTACTACGGTAAATTTGTAGAAAATATGTCTACTATCGCTGGTCCGTTATATGCATTGTTGAAGAACAATACACAATTTGTTTGGAATGCAATTCAGAGTAAAGCATTTTCTAAAATTAAGGAATCTATTTTATCTAATAAGGTTTTGGTACATTATAACCCAAATTTGGAATTAATTGTAGCTAGTGATGCTAGTCCTTTTGGTGTGGGAGCTGTATTATCACATATAATGCCAGATGGGTCGGAGAAGCCTATTGCTTTTGCATCTAGGACGTTGAGTGCATCTGAAAAGAATTATGCACAAATTGACAAGGAAGCCCTTGCCTTAGTTTTTGCCATTAAATATTTCCATCAGTTTGTGTATGGTAGGGAATTTATTTTGAGGACTGACCACAAGCCTTTAGTCAGTATTTTTGGTGAAAAGAAAGGAATTCCTCTTATGTCAGCACATAGACTACAGCGTTACGCTATATTTTTATCCGGTTATACTTATAAAATAGAATTTATTAAAGGTCTAGAAAATGGTAATGCTGATGCTCTATCAAGATTGCCTTTAAGTGTAATTGGTAGTAATGATATAGAGTGTGATAATTTTTTCATTAATATGGTAACTACTAATATTAAGTCTATTGGAGATTTAGATATTTGTAATGAAATTAAAAAAGATGTTGTTCTGCGTGATGTGTTTATTAAAGTGTTTACTGAGAATTGGCCTGATAACAGTAAGGATGTTTCACTAGTTCTTAAACCATTTTACAGTAGGAGACTGGAATTGTCTATCGAGCAGGGTTGTTTGATGTGGGGACATCGATTAATTATTCCTCCAAAGTATAGGAAACAATTGTTGCAGGAATTGCATAGTACACATATGGGTACTGTCAAGATGAAAGCATTGGCTAGATCTTATTTATGGTGGCCAGGTATGGATTCTGAAATTGAATGTATTACAAAAGAGTGTAAAGAATGTTTAATTCTTAGCGATAGTCCACCTAAGAGTGTGTTACATAATTGGCCTTGGCCTGAAGGTCCTGCACAAAGAATCCATGTAGATTTTTTAGGACCTGTTAAGGGTATGATGTTCATAGTTATTTTAGATGCATACTCAAAGTGGGTTTTTGTGAAAAGAATGTTAAATATAACATCTAGTTCTACTGTTATGGTGTTAAGAGAGTATTTTGCAACTTGGGGTATACCTGCAAAATTGGTATCTGATAATGGGCCTTCTTTGTGTTCTGTTGAGTTTGAAACATTTCTTAAAAACAATGGTGTTTTTCACATTAAAACTGCTCCATATAACCCTTCATCTAATGGCGCAGCAGAGAATTTAGTGAGGACTTTCAAAAATTACTTAAAGAAAGTAATTTCTAGTACTAATAATAAAGATTGTATTGATACTAGTGTGTTGAAATTTATTTTGTCTTATAATAGCACTAAACACTGTTCTACTGGTTTTAGTCCTGCTCAACTGAATATCGGTCGTTCTTTATTTACATCTTATGATAGGTTGACACCTTTTGCTAAAGTTAATTATGAAAAAAGTTTGGTTAAAAATAAAAATTGGTATAGAGGTAATAGAAATAAAGAGTATATTGTTGGGGATTTAGTAATGTGTAGGAATTATACTGGAGGGGATGAGTGGGTACAAGCAGTTATATTACAGAAATTATCTCCTGTTACTTATGACTTGAGATTAGGTGATGGTAGAATTTGGAAGAGACATGTGAATCAGATTATAGATTGTGGTTTAGTTGTTGAAAAAGAGGTGAGTACAGATCAAAACATTAATTTGGAGCAAGAAGAAGTAATTGAGGAAAAATTGGAGGTAACTGAAGAGTTAGGGAAGGATGTGTTCGATTCTCAAAAGGATACTTGTGTTAGTACTGAAAGACCTAAGCGAGTTAATAAAGCGAGCTAATAAATTGAATTTGTAAAATATGTTATTAGTATAAATATTTTTTAATTGTCATTATTATTAATTAATATATTGTTTTTTGGCTATCTATATTTTGTATATTTTGTTATTTTATTTTATTTACTTTTGATTGTTAAAGTTAATATTTTATTATGTATTTTATATGAATAGTATTCTGTAATTAAGTTTGGAGGAACTGTAGTGTTTGTTCCATGACCTTAGATATAACCTTAAAATATTTTGTCAATTGTCATATACTCACACAGTCACTCATGTTATAAGTATGCTTTGTAGTATGCTTGAAGTTGTTCAGTTCTTTATTATGTTATGTTAAAAATATTAAAAGAACACTTAGTTAAATTGTTTATTGCTAATTTATCATCATCCTACAAATATTACACCTATTATAGTATTATAGGTGGTGCAATGTAATTTTATACACAATAATATTTTCAAAAATATAAAGGTATTTATAAAAGTAACCAAATCATTAGAACTAGATTTCTAACTCAGCTTAAATTTTAATAATGAATAATATTTTATTACATTTAAAAATTAATAATTTGTTCGATATTATCTACCACAAAATGCATTTTTATATTATAATATGAAAATATGATAAAAATTACTTACACTTTCTCTAACTGTAGGACAGGAATTTGAATAATTTTGAATCGAGTTCACTAATTTCATCGCTCTAGTCCTCTTCATTGTACACAAATTATTTACTTACATTAACAATTGTATAAGTAAATAATTTATTAAATCTATTTTCATTTAATAACAAACTCATAAAATATAATATCCTTACAAAAACAATCGCAATAAGAAAACAACGCTAATGCACAATACACTAACAATAACGAGTAACGAGTAACGACATTCGACAATACAATGACGAACCCACTACCAGGCGCGAAACGGCGAAACCAGAATTCTATTTTAAACATTAAACAGAATTGATTACAGGAATGTGATTGTACATGTTGGTATATGAACTAAGAAATGATAATTTAATTTTTCATGTTAAATAATCGTGTTCCAAGAACGTCTATAGATGGTAGCTGAGTTAGGGATCCCATACGTCCCGTATTTAACGGTATTGTCCCGTATTTGAATGAAGCGTCCCGGTGTCCCGGCAAAAGTTCAAAAATAACACTTTTGTCCCGTATTTTGGACAACCCGTCCCGTATGTACCTTATTTTAAAATTATATCAAAAATTAAATATTTCTCATAATTTAGTATTTTAAAATTTAAATTATTAACAACATATGATAATATCTAAATCAGATGATAATTATCTGATTATAATGATATCAAATTTTTTTGTTGGTTTTGTGGTTACACTGATTACTGATATTATATCGGCTATCAAATCGGCTGTCGGCACATGGTATAATATTATTATGCCGTTATGGACGATAATTGAATATTATTATCATTTAATTATCAAGTTCTACGATTCTTTAAATAATTTTCTTATTCTACTATTACTATTTACTATTTCAGTCTATAGAATTTATATTTTATTATATTCTTAGTGTTTTAGTAATAAAAATGCCTAAACGTAAATGCATATTCACTGACGCCCTAAAGGAAGAATATACATTTTTAAAATTGTGTGAACGAGTTGGAAATGATGGAAAAATCGAATGTATTAGTTGCGGTGCAATTTTCAGTATTGATCATGGTGGTAAATCTGACATAAAACAACATATTGGCACCAAACGTCATAAATTAGCTGAAGAATCAAGCAAAACTAAGAAAGTTAATGCATTCTTTGGAAATAAAAGGTTTGTCGCTGCTGATAAATTAGTTTATATAAATGAAGGTACTTGGGCTTATCATGTTTGCAAACATAATCAAAGTTGCTCATCAATGGATTGTACGTCGGGTTTACTTCGTAAAATGTATGACAGTAAATTTACTTGTGGTGCTACTAAAACGCAAGCAATAATTGTAAATGTATTGTTTCCTTATGCAATTAACTTAATAAAAAATCAATTAGATGCTGCTAGTTTTGTAACAGTTATGATTGATTCGTCTAACCACAAAGACCTAAAAATTATTCCAGTTTTAGTACGATATTTTTTGCCGGAAACAGGTATAAAAACTGTTATAATAGAATTTACTGATCTACCCGGGGAAACAGCTGTACAATTAACAAACTATGTTTGTGAATTGTTAAAGACATGGAAAATTGAAAAAAAAATAATTGCATTATCAGCAGATAATACCAATACAAATTTTGGAGGTGTACTTAGACGAGGAAAAAATAATCTTTTCACTCATTTAAATGGTAATGTTGAAAATTATATTATTGGAATCGGATGTTCAGCGCACATATTAAACAACTCCATTCAAAGTGCATCCGATACATTACCAATTGATCTACAAATGATCATATCCAAAATATTTCAACACTTTTATATTTATTCGGTCCGTGTTAATACTCTTAAAGAGTTTTGTGATTTTGTCAATAGTGATTACAAAACTATTTTAGGACATTCAAAAACTAGATGGCTCTCTCTGCATCCAGCATTGACACGTTTGATAGAAATGTTTGGTCCATTAAAATCTTATTTTCTATCAATAGAAAAATGTCTATTTGTCCTCAAAACATTTTTTGAAAATCCAATCTCATTATTATTGGCAATGTTTTTAAATGCCCAATGTGAGTTATTTTCATCAGTAATTCGGTCAATTGAAGGTAATGATATATCTGTGGTTGAAGTTAAAATACAAGTAGACTACTTAAAAGAATGTTTAATTGGAAGACAAGAAGGTAATTTTATCACATCAAAAGAAAAAACTCTTCTTAATAACTTAAGAGATGAAGGATTAATTACTGAAATACAATTTAGGAACTACAAAAATATATTTTATTCGACATGTTTAAAATATATTGATCAATGGGTGAGACCTACTTTAAACCAGTTTGACGGTATATCTTGGATAACATTGAAAAATATTCAAGAACACTTTAATTGGGATAATATGATAAAAAGTATCACCTTAATAAAGTCTATTGTACCTGACCGTCCTGACCTCAATTTATATGAAGCAAAATTATTTGATGAGATGACTTTATTGAAGAACAATTTAATGAACTACACTCCACCAACAGATAAGAAATTAGAATCCATGTGGGTGGATATTTTCAAAATAGAATCAGTTGGTGAAAATTTAGTCTTTTCAAACTTAAAAAATATTGTGGAATTCTTTATGTGCATCCCAGGAACAAATGCAAGCGTTGAACGGGTATTTTCACATATGAACTGTTTGTGGACTGATGAGAAAAATAGACTAAATACAAAAACAGTAAAAGCTACGATAACAGTTAAACTATTTTTCCATGAAAACTGTGCTGAGTTTCATCATATACTCTCAGGAAATGAGAAACTACAAAAAGAAATTCATTCTAGTCAAAAATATGAAAAATAATGTATATTAATAAGTAAAACAAAAAACTACCTAAATGTTCCTACATTTCTTAAATTTTTCGTTTATATAGTTATTCAATTTTTAATTTTTTTGTTATAAATTTGTTATAGAAAAGTTATAGTTTTTGTTTATAATTTATCATAAATGTATCATGGGAAAGTCACCCTATTATAATTTTTAATTAATATATGCAGATAATAAATAATGCATAATAATAAGTAAAACTAAAATTACTAAAATGTATAAATGTTCCTACATTATTTAAATTTTGTTTAAATTGTTATTCAATTGTTGAATATTTTTGTTATAAATATATCATTGGAAAGTCACCTAATTATTTGTTTTTAATCTTCGTTATAATATATATACCTACTAAATAGGTATGATATAAAATGTCCCGTATTTAATTAAAATAAATCTGGGATCCCTAAGCTGAGTAGTTTATCTACAGCTATTAATAATAATATATTATTCAATATTATTATCTATGTCTATAACCGTGGTCTTGAGTGATATAAAAATATAAGCAGCTGTTATCTAGTATGTAACCCCAATGATTTCAACAAATATTAATAAATCAAAATAATATAGTAACTCAATGCAATATTATAAGCCGACGACAGTACGGCATTAGCACGTTTTGTATAAAATTAATATATTTGTAATATGGATGAACATACGTAATAGAACGTTTTGAAGTATACCATGTCAATAGCGCATTTTGGATTGTGAGAATAAAAGACAATAGTACGTTATGACTTAAGTTCAATTTTTTTGAGTTAAATTTTTGCCATAAATATTCGAATTAGAGTTAAAATATGTAAAAAATCGAAATCTTCCAGACTATAACAGTAAAACTACATGTATAACTCAATTTCAAAAAAATGGCAATAGCACGTTTTGGAATTTGGCCCTTCAATTATTATAACGAGTAATTAAAAAAAATAAACAACTGCAAAACTTAAATCTAATATCTCCTTTGAGATCAACAATTTTAAACATAATCAAAATAAAAAATCTTAAACTTAAATCTAATCTCTCCTTTGAGATCAACAATTTTAAACATAATCAAGATCAAACATTTTAAATTTAAAACTAAGCTCTTCTTTGAGCTAAAATATTAAACATTATCACAGTTAATTAACAGGTAAAAGGTAGGTTAAATAGTTAAATTAAAATGTATTCATCAGAAAATGATTCATCATCCGATTCGCAATGATGGCAAGTATAACTATCCTCACCGGTTGTACAATCTTCATGGGAACATTTTTTGCATTTAACACATGACACCCTCTTTTCATTGGCTCGACCAGCTGAATAAGGTTCACAGCAAACTAGACAAAATGCATCTTCATCGTCACTTGAACTTGATAAGCCTTTTCTTTTCTTAGAATTCTTATTTGCAGTACTTGTTTGTGTCTTCTTTTTTATTTTGAATATTTTTTTTTTACTTTTTTATCATTGCTTGTTTTTTGTACTTGACACTTTTTTTTGATTCTAGTTTGTCCTTTTCTGGAGTATCAGTCAAAATTGCCACACACCTTTTTCTCGGACGTGGTCTTCCTTGTTTTCTAGCACCAGCTTTAGGCAGTGGTCTTATGTCTTCAGGAGATTTTGGTATTATTATTTGATTTTGAGATTTTGAAGCTTCTGCTGGTATTGACAACCGCAACCCTGACCCCAACCCGCCTTTCAGAGGGATAGCTTGAGACTTACTTGCCGAGAAGGTTAGACCTCTCAGCTCCGCCCAATCGCTTAGAGCGTTGAGCGTAGCTCTTGGTTTCCCTTGAATATCCAAGAGATCGGGTCCTGCGATGTGAACCGCAAGGTCATCCGCGTACGAGACCAGTTTGACCCTATCATCATTGTTGGTAGCCAACGCCCTATCCATCGACAAGTTCCAAAGACTTGGTCCTAACTGTGAGCCTTGAGGAGACCCTCTGGTGAGATCCGCGAAAGCTGTTGCTCCCTCCACTGAGAGGACCGCTCTCCTGCCCGTCAGGTAGCTCTGTATGATAGACCTGGTTGCTTCGGATGCACCCAGAGCCTTCATGTCCCTAATCAGAATGTTCCACCTCAGGTTGTCGAAAGCTCCTGAGATGTCCAAGAAAACACCTATTACCATTTCCTGACTGTTGTCCACCCAATCCAGACACGACTTGATCGCGCTGATTGTAGACTTGCCAACTCTAAAACCGTGTTGCTCTTCTGAGAGAGCACCCCCTTTTCCTATTCAAGTCTGTCCACCCTTAGCCGTTCCAGCACCTTTGATGGAGCCGAAAGCAAGCGGACTGGTCTGTATGACTTAGGAAGACTCGGGTCCCTATCTTGACCTTTGCTGATGACTACGACCTCAGCGGTCTTCCAGCAATCCGGAAAGACCGACCTCCTAAGGAACTCCCTCAGGACACTAGTTAGCGGCGTACCTATAACGCCAAAGGCCTTCCTGAGCACCCCGGCGGTGATACCATCCAGCCCCGGAGCTTTCATAGGGGCCATCCTCCAGATAATCCTCTTAACCCCCGTGACCACCTAGGAATGAGACTCCAGTAGACACTCAGCCGTCTCCAAAGCCGTCACCGTGAAGGTTACGTCTTCTTGGAGCACGGAGTTAGGAACCCTACTCTTAGAAGAACCGGGCCCCAGATGTCTGAGTTGATGTATGTAGCGAACTTCCTCCACGACTCCATCTTGTCCCTCCTAATTTTTTTCAAGGTGCTCGTTCCTAAGGACTCTGAATTGGTCCCTATCCGAGACTTTATAGTCCTTTGTACGCTTGAAGTTATTGAGATGCCTCATGGACTCTTAGAGACCAGCGTCCCGCCACGGTGGTCTTATCCTAACGGACTTTCGGGCTTGCGGCATCGAGGCCTACATTGCATGCCCGATGGCACGCGTTAGAGCACCAGCGACGGCGTCGCAACCACCCACCATGGTCTCAGGGTCACCGAGGATCTTCTGGGCCAGAACCCACCTAAACCTATCCCAGTCAGCTTTCCTAGTATTAAATCGACTTTTCCCTACCGTGGGTCCCTCCGACCCTGATTCGACTCGGATCTTGAAACTGATTATCCTGTGGTTGCTATCTGTGATATCGAGCACTACAAACTCAGATGGAGTTCGTCAACGAACCCCCTCTCGTCAGAGTCACATCTATGTTCGAAGCACCCATGCCCGGTCTCTCGTACGTATCGAGAAGACCAGGCTGGTTGTGCACTGTCAAGTGTTTCTCCGCGATTAGGGATTCGACATGGGACCTCCGGGCTGAACCCGAGTTGTTACCTGGCCGACTGAACCAGAGCGGCGAGTGCGCGTTCACGTCGGCTCCTATCACGAAGTTTTGATCGATCTTATCCAGAATTCCACCTAACCTAGCCGTAAATATGTGTGTCTGGATGCTATACTTGAAGTAGAAAACGACACGAAAACGACCGCCTGACCACGCCTTTTCCTAAGGCTGGCCACAGCGAAGTGCTTATCACTGAGCCCCTGCAGGCTTCAAGGCAACCACCTCGATGTGCTGATTTAGGACAACTATGGCTACCCTTGCACTAATATTCCTACTGCTGAGAACCGTTAGGTTAGGTTAGGTTAGGTACGGCGCTGTAGTCAAAACCTACCAGTCTGTCTCCCGAGGTCAGTACTTCTTGAAGCAGAAATACCTCAACCCCGTTAGCCCTGTTGTAATCCAGTATCTGATCAGGAACGAGATGGTTCCCGTTCATGTTCAACTCGACTACACAGTATGTCGAAGACTCCATAATTTCGAGCCAAAATCGATATTAGGGCGACCCTGATGCTTGCCTTGTGCAGAGCTGAACAATCCTTGTGGCCTGACAGAGCAGCCAGGCCACAGTTTGCGCACTTTACCGGCGCGTCCTTGCAGTTTATGGCCCGATGGCCCTTAGCCGCGCAACGCTCGAAAGTGTGCTCCAAAGCCTTGTAACGTATTGCCATGTGACCAAAGCCCTGGCACTTGAAACAACTATTCACATCGAAGTACTCGACTACCCTACACCCGGAGAGACCGACGAAAAGGCTCTTGCCTACCAAGGTCTTGTGGGTGATTGGTCTGAATGAGCAGACCCACCACACAAGATTGCCCATCTTGGGCCCCTTCTTGAAGAGGGAGACCACGTCCTCCTTGACCAAACCTAGTTCCGGATTCTGATCCATGATGATCCATGATTCATGAACTAGAAGATACATTATTGAGGTGGACATCTGAAGGTATCAATGGAACTTGTTTTAGACTCCTGACGTAACTCCAAAACCTAGAAGGAGAAGATGCCTGTGGGGTAAAACGGTAATTGTTGACTGTATAATGGGTATGGGTAACTTCTCAAAATAAAAACCAAATGATGTGAGTGCTATGCTGGGTGACAGCCTACTATTTGGAAAGTAATAAATAATTTAAATCTGGGGCACAAATGTGCCGGCCGGCGTAGGACTCTTAAAAACTAATTTTACAATAATTTTAATATTACAACAATAATTTAAATTAATAATTTAATAAAAACCGGTGATAATGGACGATGAGGTGCGGGTGATGGTGAAAATGACGGTGAGGTGTGGGTGATGGTGAATTGACGGTGTGTTAAATGTATGGTGCCTGGTTGATAAAGTGATGGTGAGGTAAATGTATGGTGCCTGGCTACAAAACTAATGCCTTCACTTTGCCCGTGTAGTAGGTACAAAAAAAACACGTAAAACGACGGCAAGACTGTTTCGCGGTGACGCACACGGTATCGGAACACGAACTTGACGTGCACTCATATTGACGGCTAATCGGGAACAGCTGATCGCAGTGGTGTAGCAAGGTAGGTCGGACTGCAGTTTTTCTTATCACCGTTTTGTTTTGGTATAGGACGTCTGAACACTGAACATACCGCCCACCTTGAAGGAGCGCACCTTCAATCTTATTCTTTTATAGCGGCAATGGACACAACTTGGGCACCAGTGGTTCCATCGTAGGGAAGTGTCCTGCCGTCAGTGTTTTGAAGTCACTGGGATCGGCAGACATGACACTGAGTGGTCGCGAGTTGAGTGTTGCCTCAACTTGATGAAGGATTATATTTAGCTCTTCATACGTTAACACTTTTCCGTTGGTTATCTGGTGTAGTAGTGTCTTAGTTGATTTCACTGCGGCTTCCCACAGACCACCCATGTGTGGAGCAGCCTGTGGGTTGAAATGCCAGGTTATCTGATGTGAGGTGAGGTGATTGGCGAAGGTATCGTGACGAAGTATGTGATCAATGTTTTGCAAGTATTTTTGGGTACCAACAAAATTCGTGCCGCAGTCACTATGGATGTCAGAACACCGTCCTCTTCGTCTGATTAATTGGCTTAGTGCGGATATGAACTAAGGGGTCGACAAGTCCGACACCATTTCAATGTGTACGGCAGTGGTGGCCATACAAATAAAAATACAATTGTAAGCTTTGGTTACTTTTATCTTCCTTAACATAGCTGCTTTTACTTCAAATGGTCCAGCAAAGTCCACCCCGGCTCGACCAAAATGTTTGATTTGAGAGACCCGGTGTACTGGAAGGTTTCCCATAACAGGCTGTAAGACGGATGGTTTTGATCGAAAACATGGAATACATCTATGGGTCCGTTGTCGTATGATACTTCTCGCAGGCAATATCCAATAATCCTGGCTCAAAATGTTTTGAAGGGATTGAGGTCCAGGGTAACCATTTTCTCGGTGACCGTAGTCGATCAATGACGTAGTTAGACGGGAAGTCTTAGGGAGTAAAATAGGGTATTTTTCTTTATACGGTATCTGTGCGTGTTTCAAACGACCCCTACCCTGAGCAACTTGTCATCATCCGAGGGGCTAACTTTCTCAGACGCACTGAAAAGGATTTTCCCGCTTCTAAACTGCAAAACTCGTCGTAAAAAGCTACTTGCTGGGTCCATCGTATCTGAGCTTTAACAGCCTGTTCAATTTCTTCAGCAGTGGGAAGCGTAGTGGGAATTGAAGTACGTTTATTTGACAAATAATTCCGTACACGTAGTCAGTAAGCAGTGAGTCGCAGAATCTTAGGGAAGTTATCCGATTGGTACAGCAATGGGCATTCTTCGGTTTTCACTCGGACCATTAGAGTGATTGGATTTTCTTCAAGCTCTTCATCACGGTAATTGGTTGGGTTCATAGCTCCTAAGGCCATAAATGTTCAGGTTGTCGTAGAAAGTTGGGACCATTCCACCAAAGACTATGGGATGCCAAACGATTTGGGCTTAATCCTCGTGATGCGCAATCTGCGGGGTTGACGCTAGTCGGTACGTGCCGCCAATTTCTGACGTCGGTATTTTGTTGGATTTTTGCCACGCGATTTGCCACGAAAGTTTTCAATTTGGCGGTCGGAGATCGAATCCGTTCTAGGGCAACACCAGTCTTGGAATGGACATTTTCGTGTCCGGAGATACCTTTGATTTTCCCATTAACAGCTGACACTGGACCTCAGTGCCTGAATCGACTCGTAAGTATACGGCAGCTGCATAAGCCACCGCAGAGCTGTCCCTGAATCCATGTAACTCATAAGTCGAATTTGAGCTGGTCACTCTTCGTAGAATTCGCAATTATGCGAGAGCTGGTAATTCCTCATGGTATTTTGTCCATTAGGTGGCAGCCTCTTCGGGTATAGGTTGATCCCAACCTACCTCGGCTATCCACAGATATTTCATCAGTCGCTTAAGATCCGTTGTGACTGGTGCCAATAAGCCGAGAGGGTCATACATTCTGGCGATTTCCGATAATATGGCTCGCTTACTAAATTTTATCGGGTTAGGTTGATACTTATAACTTAAGAGGTCTGCCTCTGGCTCCTAATTTAATCCAAGCACTTTGGTATAATCCAAACCGTGTTCATTAAATGACTTTGAGCTAGTTTGATGGTGCTCCTCTTGATTTTTCCTAGAAACTTCGCAGAATTACTAGCCCACTTGCGTAGCTCAAATTGGCCTTTTGCGAATATGGTGATCAGTTTCTGCTGCAATACGCATGCTTCTTCTTCTGTTTTTGTCCCTGTCGTGACGTCATCTACGTACAAATGACGTTGAATAATTGTTTTTATTGCTTGGGCGGTTGCAGCTTCGTTCTGCGCAAGTTTTTGGAGTGTGCGAATAGCCAGAAACGGAGAAGACTTCTGACCGAACGTGACAATATTTATCTCATATTCTTGAATAGGTTCATTTAAGTTGAATCGGTATAAAAGCCGCTGGTATGGTCGATGAGGTTCAGTGACGACTATCTGTCTAAACATCTGTTTTACATCGTTAGTAAACACAATTGCATGCAGGCGGAATCTAAGAACGATGCTCGGTAGGTCTTGTTGCAGTTTAGGTCCACAGAGGAGATTATCATTTAATGATCTACCCGAAGATGTTTTCGCTGATGCATCAAAAAAAATACGCATTTTTGTGGTGGAACTTTCAGGACGTATAACTGCTTGATGGGGAATGTAATATGACGCCTGGCTATCAGTCAAGGTTGGATCTACTTTACTCATATGTCCTGTTCGTAAATAATTCCTAATCACCTCATTGTATTCATTTCTTAAATCCGGAGATTTTCCAAGCCGTTTTTCGAGCTGGAATAAACGTTGTGCTGCTTGGTCTCTTGAGTCCAACAATACTAATGGATGTGGTTTAAAGGGCAAGTGGACTTTGTATCTTCCACATGGTTGACGCGACCAGTAGTGGTATATATTCTTTCACACTCTTCTTCATCCGGACTTCATTTGACCACTGTAGGAACATCTTCAACGTCCAAAAAGCGTTGAAGCGTTCTGTCCACGGACTCCGTGGTTGCGCACAAAGTTACGGACATTTTTGTTGGCGTATTAGATGTTGTGCCCATCAATACCCAACCGAACACAGTTGATAAGGCGATTGGCTGAGTTATACTTCCTTCTTTCTTCTCTCCTGACACAAAATAGGGGAAAACGTCCGCTCCAAGTAATAGATCAACTGGTAATGGTTCGTAATTTTCCGGATCTGCTAAATTCAACCCTTCAATGTGGGGCCATGGCGAGACCTGAATCCTTTTAGTCGGTATTGGTCCAGTAACTCGAGGTAAGATGAGGACGTATACTTCTAACTTTGGACTGTCATGACGAACAGGACGTACCGTTATAGTGGTACTCCCACGTACTACCGGTACCTGTGTACCCGACAGAGCTTGGGCAGTAACTTTGGTCTTCTCTCTTGACAGTAATAAACGATACACGCAACTTTCCGTATTGAAACTACTTTGACTGTCAAGCAAGGCCCTTACGGTTATAACTTCATCATTTTCATTTTCACTAAGGCCGTTGATAGCAAAATGGACGCATGACAGTGTTTCAGTTACATGTGCTGATGTGGTTGCTTCGGGTTCATCTATTGGTCGGTCAGTATCACTAAGATGAAGTAGTGAGTGATGTCTTTTTCCACACTGAACACAAGATTTGGTATTCTTACATTGACTGGCTAAATGTTTACTAAAGCATAAAAAGCATTGATTTAAATCTTTTATAATTTGATGCCTCTCTTTAGGACTGTTTTTTTTAACTGAGAACAGTGTACGAGTAAATGAAACGGTTGTAATTTACACACTTGATACGAAAACGACCTTTTCTCACGCGGGTCCTGTTGGCTAGTCTTTTCTGGTGATGGTTCCGGTCATGGTTGATTTACAAAATTTAGTCAAAAACACTATAAACTCTTTCACAGAAGGATCTTCGGTGGTATCTACAGATAACTCCCATTGAGCTCTAAGTTGTTGGTCTAATTTTTTCTGTAGCACCTGTTAGAGTATCGGGTCGACTGCGTATGTAAGATTTTCTAAGGCACCGATCGTTTCAGTAACTACATTAAGTAAATTTCGAATTGAAATACCATTTCCAAGGAAAGCTTTAGGTGCATTAAAAAGTTCATCCAAATGACTTTCTGTAATGATTCGATGGTTGGAATATCTGGCTTTTAACTGGGATTGAGCTAATTCGTAATTACTATCGGTCAACATAAGATTTCCAACCAGTCTTAAAGGTTCTCCTTCCAAGTATCGTTTTAAGTATCCGAACTACAACACTGGTTTTATGTGTGGATTGTCGTGTATATAGATATCGAACATGTTACGAAAACTGGTATATTATTTTGTATCTCCTTTAAAATTTGGAATAGCCAACTTTTCAATCTGTAGAAAAATAGCCGGTGATACGCTATGTTTCTGTTGTGCCGTAATGGGCGTATTAGGTTCGGTAGCTACTCATCATCCAAAAATGTTACAACCAAAGTAAACTGTTTCAAAGTCCTCTCGTAACTTATCAGCATCAACCACTTCAACACCAGGTTTACCCATGTTACGATTAATGACTGATAACTGACTTTCAAAATCGGTGTTTAAATTCTCCGAAGTGGCGTAGATAATTCTAAATCTCGTTCTTTCAGTTTTTGTCGGTTCTTTCCCGACCATTAACTCTCCTGCATCATAGATACGTTTCGCTCTTTTCTGCAGGTCCGTGATGCGTACTTTAGCTTCATCGTATACATCCATTACAAAAATTAACAAAATTAAATTATTATTTTTTTTAACAACGAATTTTCTGCGATTAATTTGACGAAGTAGGTACACAACAAACAATATTATTATATTATTGTACGTAATCGTATTGGATTTAATTACTTATGCTAATTGTTTTATTATTATTTTTAATACGTAACAACAGAGGTGTGTGCTTGCAATGATTATTGCTACGCGGTTGACGATAGCGACCGTAGACTATTTCCGCAAAGGTTCAAAGTCCAATTTACCTAAATCGCGTTCGGTAGGTGTTATGCAACTGTTTTGTATACACTATCGCCGTAACCTTGGTCTTTATATGCTTTTTTTTTTTTTTTGATAAACTGTTCAATCGCTTAAGACTATTTAGCAAACTAAATATATCCTAGGCTCGATGGACCATAAATGTGGGGTGAAACGGTAATTGTGGAGTTGTGGACTGTATGATGGGTATGGGTAACTTCTCAAAATAAAAACGAAATTATGTGAGTGCTATGCCGGGTGACAGCCTACTATTTGCAAAGTAATAAATAATTTAAATCTGGGGCACAAATGTGCCGGCCGGCGTAGGGCTCTTAAAAACTAATTTTACAATAATTTTAATATTACAACAATAATATAAATTAATAATTCAATAAAAATCGGTGATAATTGACGATGAGGTGCGGGTGATGGTGAATTGACGGTGTGGTAAAGGTATGGTGCCTGGTTGATAAAGTGATGGTGAGGTAAATGCATGGTTCCTGGTTACAAAACTAATGCCTTCACTTTGCCCGTGTAGTAGGTACAAAAAAACAAGTAAAACACGGTTTTGACTGTTTCGCGCTAACGCACAAGGTATCGGAACAAGAACTTGACGTGCAATAATATTGACGGCTAACCGGGAACAGCTGATCGCAGTGGTGTAGCAAGGTAGGTCGGGCTGCAGTTTTTCTTATCAGCGTTTTGTTTTGGTATAGGACGTCTGAACACTGAACAATTCCAATTACTTCTTCGGTTTGCTTGATGTAGGCACAGTGGTCAGAGTTAGAATTATGTTCACATTTGGCTCTTAATTCAGAAAATGCCAAGTTGTCTATGGGAGAGTTGGTTTGCTTGAATTTTTTGTGATCCTGCTTCTTACTAAATATTCAGCTTTTGATGTAATGAGAAACCCAACATGGAAATTTAAAGGGTGAAAGAACTTTTAGGGGGACATATTTATTAATGGCGTTGAATAGTGCGTCATTAAATAACAATTCGGATTCTTCAAGTCTAAGAAGGTATAAGATCAGGATCATCCCGGTTAACAGGCACGGGCTAAAGACTGAGATGGTCACATTCCAGTAAAATTGGTTCAAGATGTCCAGCTCGAATAGTTGCAACTAATATTGAAGGCCACATTACAGTAGATTATTGCAAGACACATGTGGGCTATTCCAAGTCAATTAAATTTTTACATTTGACTAAAGAGGAACGTGATGAACTGGCTGGCAAAATAAAAATTGGAGTGACTTTTGATCGAATCCTAGATGACATCCGTGAATTAGTAGTGTCGAATGAGAATATTCACCGCCTGCATATTGTCGATAAAAGAGATTTATATAATATTGTTAGGGACTATGAATTGGATAGGGATGTAGTACATAAGAATAATGCATTCAGCACTGAGATGTGGGTTCAAGAACAGATGGCACTCGGAGAGGACTCACCTGTTTTATATTTTAAAATGCAAGGATGCGAAAAAAACGATGATCTCTTAAAAGATGATTTTATGATTGTATTAATGACAAAATATCAGCAAGAGATTATCAAAATATGCTATTGACAAAGTTTGCATAGACAGCACTCATGGGACCACTGAACATGACTTCCAGCTCACAACAATGCTTACCATTGATGAATTTGGAGCTGGATGTCCAGTGGCTTTCTGTATCAGCAACAGGATTGATTCTGTAGCTATTTCTGTTTTTTAAATCTGTAAAGGGAAAAATGGGTCTTATTCCTGCCTAAATATTGATGTCTGATGATGCTCCAACATATATCAACTCCTGGACAAAGATAATGTGCAAGCCTCAACACCATTTAATTTGCAACCGGCATATTGATAGAAGCTGGAGAAACAACCTCAATAAACTACCAGACCCAATGAAGCAGTCTGAAGTTTATAAAGCTTGCCTCACACTCATGGAAATTTTGGATGTTGGCCGTGACTGAATTTCCACGTTGTCGAATTTTTCTAAAAATTCGGGGCGGAACTCTTCTCAGGTGAGGTCCAGTAGTCTGATGGTGTTCCACCAGGTACTGGCTGCACCCTTCAGCTGCTGTGCGATAATATTTGTCCAGGCCCACCTATATATACGCGTTTGGTACATTATCGATTCCGCTTTATGTATAAATCTTGCAGGGTCTTCGGGTATTGTCCCGTGGTACTGCGGCAGCAAATGTCTCTCTCCACATACGTCGTCGTATGGTATCAGCGTCGATTGTTGTGCCGCGTAGGTGTGTGGAGGAGGGGGCATGGTATAGGTTTGATGTGGCATCGAAACGTACCGAACTGTCGGCGTGTTGACTACCCGTGGCCGGCGGTTCGCGTGCCGCGGGTTAACTCGGTCCGTACTCCGTGTTGTTCGATGACATTGGTTGGTTGGGGCGGGTCGTTGGTGTTCCATCCGGTTGATGTTCCGGTACTTGGCGTGCCATACCCATCTCTGGCGTCGCTTGTCTCTGCCATGCGACGTTGGTCCTCGCCAAAGCGGACCATACAGTTCTCGAGCATGGTCAGTCGCGATTCCAGACTGCACCCATGCGCCGAGTTCTCCGCCGCTTGCCGTAAATCCTTAATTATGGTACGATCCGTTTGAATCATATCCATAGCTTGTTGGTGTATGGGTGAAGGTGTGGGTGTTGTATTGATGGTGGTGTTCGGGGTTTGGGCGTGTAATGATTCGATCCGTATGTGGGCGGTTCGTCCGGCGACGGGTACCTGACCTGTGGCCGAGTTATGTCCGGTCAGCCCAGTGGGTTCCATAGGCGGGAACCGGATTTCGTTGGCCTGTAGGTACATGTCCACGAAATGTTGAGTCAGTCGGATTTCGAGATCATCCTTCGCGCCCGTATCCAATAACCCGTGCTGCCTGCATTCATAGCGTAATTCCGCTAATATATTAGTTATAAATAAAATTTATTTATTAATAAATAAATTTATTTATTAATAAATAAATATAAATAATTCCATAATATATTTTCACGGCATGACGTCCGGTTGTTTATCCGGTGTTGTTTACGGGGAAAATATAAAATGTGGCTGTTGTCGGTGGAACGGATGTCGCGTTCCTTCGATCAGCTGTGTTGACCGCTTATCGGTGTTTATTTGCGTACGGAATGTAGGTCAGTGGGTTGTTATAGTTATTGTTGCGCTTGCCGGGCGATCACAGTAACCGGTCTTCGCAGAGAGCTTTCGTGGATGTGCGTGTGTGCGTTATCCGGTGCACTACTGCGATTAGAGAAGGCGGCGGCTGTCGCTTTGAGCGGCGGCGGCGCCAGTCCGATTATGTGGTATTTTTGTCCCGGGTAATCGCGTGTTTACGTTGGCGGGTGGTGGTGCTGGGCGGTGGTGGTGAGACCCTCTCGCGCTCTTGCGTTCCTACCTAATGCCTAGGTCGTGTGTGTTTTTTTAGTTCAGCGGTGGCTGTCGTGGTGATCGGACGTGCTCGTGCGTCGCTCCCGCTTGTAACCGTTTTCTTCACTGGTTTTTAGTACACCGTTTTTTTACGCGCCTAGTACCAATCGACGAGGAATTAAATTTCCGAGCGATAGATATAAACCGCGTTGAAATCGGTTTAGTTTCCGCCGAGAAAACTCAATTCTAGTGTTTTACGTGCGTAACTAGCTACCGGGTTACGCAGAACTCGATTTTCGTCTAAAAAGTGCGCGTTCGGGTCGGTGTCGGTTTTGAGTCGACCCGATTAAAATCAACCGGGTGCTCCCGCACCATTCTGCCCATCGGGCGCAGCAGCAAGTACCGCAGCCGCCGAGAAAATTCGTTTTTCCGGTCTCCACACCATCTGGACTTTTCGAGGAAAACGGTGAGACCCAAGTTCGCGCGCGATAACTCATCGAACGCAGCTTGGCGAGACGAAGCCGTGGACACTTCGTCCGCATTTTTCCGACAAATAGCGGGTAAGTAAACAGAGTTTTTCTTTACCCCCTATCCTTTCACACGGCCCCCCAAAGCCGCCGTGTGGAAAACGGGAATTCCGGCGCAACAGCTTTTTTTCCGTCGAGTATCAGCAGCCGGCACGTGACGTAGTGGGACAGGTGCACACACGTGGACATTAGTCGCGGAACGATCGACGGCGTTACCTGTCCGCCGGCGGGAATTTTCGAATTCGCCTAACGTACATATACAGAGTGCACCCAGGCTACTCGTGTATAAGTAGTGTTGCAGCGACAAGCGTAAAATACGCAAATCAGTCAAAATACGCAACGCAGTTCATTGAAAAATGGTCGGAAACGGGTAGGACCAAGTTACTCGTGTTTGGTACACTCCCTGGTATATCATACTAAAAGTGACTTTCCCCCCTCCCCCCCGTTTTCCGTCATTTTGAGTCAGCCATAACTCGGTGGGGAATCAACCCACAGAGTCCGTTCTTTCACCGATAACATTGGCTCGGCGCCCCTAGTCCCTCCCAAAGTCTGGTAGCATAAAATCCCTTCCAAGGGATTTTGGCTTCCACCGAAGGGATTCTTTAAAAACTTGACAAAAAACATCTGGGAGACAAACCGTTTTTCACAGCCAAGTTTGGTGGAAATCGGACCAATCCCATCCCTTCAGGGCCAGGGCAGCCCCCTCCAATAGGGACAGTGAGTATCGGCGCATATTGGAATAAGCTTCTAGGTCGTTTATGGCCACTGGGAACTGATACCTTCGGATTTGGTTCCCACCTTCGGCCATGGACCCCTCGGATGCTTCTGACCCCGGGCTAAAGCCAAGCCATCTAGCCGGGTCTGATGAGTGCGGACATACCAATCTGACTGCGGGCGGACCCGTCACAATTGACGATCTTAATACAGCGGCCGCGGTAGCCATAGAAACTGATATGACTGCGCTCAATATATCGACTATGTTGACCGCGGAGGCTAGGGAGCTGTCAATCCTGATGGAGATCAGGAGTACGCTCTCTAAAGAGGAAGCCAGCATCAAGCGGGTGAAGGCGGATGGCGTGAGGGAGGCGATCAACAAGATCACCAATCTGCTGAACATCGTCCTGACGGAAAGATCAAGTCTCAGGAAAGCCAGGAGGATGCTTGTTGAGGCAGTGAAGACGAACGGTCCGTCACAACGTGACGTCAACATACTAGCCGTGGTGACGGAGTCTCTTGCCCGACAGGAAGCAGGCATTGCGGCCCACTCGCGGCAGCTTGAGAAGATGGAAGGGATACTTACTTCCCAGGCGAAACCCGTTGAGTTGACCAAGCCGCGAGGGCTCGCGGACGGTAATCAGGAGGAGTGGACTGATGTGGTGAAAAGGCGGCCTAAGAGCGACGGCCCTGTCGACCAAAAGAAAGAATCATCGCAGGCTCAAAAGATTGCGAGGCCGAGGAACCCAGCAATCTTAATCCGGACGGATGCTAAAGCTTTTCCAGCTCTAGCGAAGAAGTTGCGAGGCGACTCTAGTATCGCTCCGGGGAAAAAATAAAAGCCATGCGCAAGACTCGTAACGGCGACATGCTACTAGAAGTTAACGAGCAGGAGACAACCATCGGCGCACTCAAGGAGGAGATATCTAAGCTGGTCGAAGGCGAAGCGGTGACTGTCAGTGCGCTTTCGCAGAGGAGCGTGGTGGAGTTGAGGGATGTCGACAGTTGGTCGGACAGGGATGAAGTCACACAGGCTCTGGCCTCGGTGACCGGTCTACCAAAGAAGGATGTACAGATCATCAGTCTCCGCAGGGACTTTGGTGGCTCGAAGGTGGCGGTTGCGCTACTCCCAGCGGCAGTAGCTCACAAACTAGTAGAGAAAGGCAGAGCGAGGATCGGGCTGGTGAACTGCAGAGTCCGCCTTGGGCAGACCCGCACTCGCTGTTTTAAATGCCTTGCTATGGGACATGACTCCAAGAGCTGCACTGGGCCGGACAGATCGACCTGCTGCCGGAGATGCGGAGCTCTGGGCCACCAGGCCAAGGACTGCGTTGCAGAACGAGAAGTCGCGGCGACGTTTACCAAGGTCCTAAACCAAGAAATAACAACGGACAAGCAGGCTTTGAAAAAAGAGGCATTAGGACACTAAGAGGTGATCACTGCCATCGGCAGCAAAGGGAAGGAGTCCACATCTCAAGCAGCAGAAACATGGTCAGTATGATAAATATCATACAGATCAACGTTGACGGTGGGAGAAACGCTCAGGATCTCTTAATGGCTACAGCGAACGATCGTGGGGCTGATGTCATAATTATCAGCGAACCCTATCACAGTAGATCAGAAGAGGAAGGATGGTTCCCTGATATTACAAACAAAGCGGCTGTGGTCATAGCCAATCCTACGACCCGGGTGCGAGAGGTGGGTCCTAGGAACAACGCAGGCTTCCGATGGGTTACCTTGGAAGAAGTCACGATATATTCATGTTACTGGTCACCTAACACTGAATATACCTTATTTGTAGATTTTTTGGACAGGCTGGAGGGCAGTGTTAGGAACGCCAAAGGAGTCGTTATTGTCGCAGGGGACTTTAACGCCAAATCGTCAGTCTGGGGAGATCATAGAGAAGACCCCAAAGGACGAGCATTAGCGGACATGATGGCCAGCATGGACATGGTGGCATGCAACCAGGGAGGCAGACCAACATTCTGTAGAACGTACAATGGAGGAATATCAAGGTCCCAAATTGACATAACCTTCGTCACAGGAAGCGGGAACCACATGGTCCGAGATTGGGAGGTCCTGGAAGAGTATACGGGGTCTTTGCATAAATACCTTGTATACAAATTCTCAAGCGGAAAGCAGGTAGATATACATCAGCCAGGAACAAAGTGGGCATGGAGAAAGCTTGATAAGGGAAAACTGGCACAATACATAAATTCAAGCAACGTCGGTGAAGAAGAAGTATATCCTATAGCTGCATATACTGCGCTGGACAGGTACCTTGTGGGGGCGTGTGACAGTTGCATGCCGAAAGGTCAGTATAGGAGGGGAAAGAAACCAGTATACTGGTGGAGCAGTGATATAGCGGATCTGAGGAACAACTGCAAGAAGGCGAGGCGTAGAAGTAAGAGAGCGCGCCACAAATCGGTGGAGGTGCAGGAACAATGTCGGCAGGAATTCCAAACCGCGAGAAATGCACTTAGAAAGGCTACCAGAGGCAACAAAGAAGCATGCTGGAGGAACCTTTGCGAGCAAGTCGAGAAAGACCCATGGGGTCTCCCCTATAAATTGGTTACCAAGAAAATAATGGGTAAAAGACCGATCCCTGGACTCTCCATACCCGGAAGGTTAGACGCAATTGTAGAGGGATTATTCCCCAAGGATCCCAAAATCGTCTGGCCAACAGTTAACAGTTATAACCTATTCACGGACGTCTCGTGCGAGGAGATCCGGGATTTAAGTAAGAAGATTCCGTTGGGGAAGGCACCAGGACCGGACGGGGTGCCTGATGCGATAGTACGTGAAGTCGCTTACAAGAGACCGGAGATCATGCGGAATATTTTTAACTGCCTACTCAGGAACAGCATCTTCCCTACCCCGTGGAAGGCGGCCAAGCTGGTGCTCCTGCGGAAAGGAGACAAACCGTTGGAAAATCCGTCTTCATACAGACCAATCTGTCTGTTGAACACTATTGGAAAACTGTTTGAGAGACTGGTAAAGGGGTGCTTAGAAAAGCACTTGATCGAGAGCGGAGATCTCAACGACAGACAGTTTGGTTTTAGGAAGGGGTGTTCCACGGTCGACGCCATACAGAAAGTGATGGAAACGGTCGAGAAAGCTGGATCGGGACCACGATACAGGTGGAAGCTGTGTGTAGTGGTAGCATTAGATGTGGCGAACGCCTTCAATTCGGCGAGATGGGAGAACATCCTAAAGGCGGTGCGAGAAAGACAGTTCCCTCAGTACCTCGTCAACATCTTGCAGAGCTATCTTAGCGACAGGGAGGTCAATTATGAAGGAAAGGTTTGGCCTACTACATGCGGGGTTCCACAAGGTTCAGTCCTGGGCCCATTATTGTGGAACCTCATGTACGACGGACTCCTCGGAGTAGATACGGGCGGCAATGTTGACGGAAAGTCGTCTACATCCCTAGTAGCCTTTGCAGACGACGTGGCGGTAGTGGCGACGGGCCTCAAAACAAGTATACTTGAGGAGGTGACGAATAACGCGCTGGCGAAGGTAGCCGATTGGATAGAAAATGCCGGATTAACCCTTTCAGCCGGCAAGACAGAAGCAGTGATGCTCACTAGAAAGAGAGGCTATGAAGTGCCAGTCTTTTCGGTGAACGGGGTACCCGTGGAACCGAGTGAAAACCTCAAATACCTCGGTGTGCAACTATCCAGGAAGTTGTTCTTCAAACACCATATAGAGACGGCGGCAAAAAGAGCAGGAGCCACAGCCGAATCCCTGATGAAAATTCTGCCCAACATGGGAGGAGCCAGACAACGGAGGAGGAAGGTCGTCGCGCTGGCAGTGCAAAATCAACTGCTCTACGCAGCCCCGGTCTGGGCAGATGCACTCGTCTTCGAAACAAACGTCCAAACGTTAGTGAGACCTCAAAGGAGAATCGCATTAAGAGTAGCCATGGAATACCGTACGGTATCAGCGAATGCCATCTTAGTTGTTGCTGGCATGATACCAGTACACCTCAAAGCGCTAGAGCAGCAGTTGAAAGCCAAAACATTGAAGGAAGGGGCTATGTTAGAGAAACGGGCGGTGACAGACCTAACATATAGGAAATGGCAGTCGCAGTGGGAAGCAACCAAGACGGGCCTGTGGACGAAGCGACTCATTGGCGATGTTAGACAGTGGACTGACAGGAACTTTGGCGAGACTGATTTTCATCTGACCCAAATGCTGACGGGTCATGGATGCTTTGGATATTATCTCCACAAATATAAAAAACGGGAAGACCCAGCGTGCGTAGACTGCGGATCACCGGTGGATAACGCTGAACACACGCTGTTTAGGTGCGACAGATGGTGGAGACACAGAAGAGAGTTGGAACCAGATACGGTGGTGTCGAAAATGCTGGAGAAGACGGACCACTGGAATGCGGTTAAGGCGTACGCGGGAATGATGCTCTCGACAAAGGAGGAAGAGGAGAGGCAGGTTCAAAAAATAGCTAGAGCTGCAGGAGTAAGGTAGTTAAGTCGTATAATATGTGCACCGAAGGTGGAAGTAAGAGGGGTAGAGCCCTCTATCATTGTAAAGGCAACGCCTTAGATTTAAGTTTCATTATGTTTGTAAATGGTATGTTTGTAAATGGTTTATATAAATAAACGATGCGGATGCAGGGGGAAGGACTATCCTAGGATGAAGTGCCCCCCTGTAAAAAAAAAGGTCGTGTGTGTTTGGAGCGTCGGGCGGCGCGCCGGTCGTTACGTCTTTTATGGTTATGCAATATATTACGTAACGCCGGTTTTTCCGTTAACGCCTGCAAACCACGTTTTTGTCGGATCGCGTTGGTGACTTTTTTCCAAACCACTCAACGGGGGTTATTTGGTGGTGGTAGTATGGGGTAAGTTAAGGGAAAAAGAAAATTTTCACTTACCGGAGATTATTGTTCGGAGAGCCAATTTGATGCGGACCTGTGTGGTGCCACGTGGATGGTGGGTGAAGGTGACCAAAAAGACACGATAAATAAAAAAAAAAGATACGCACTATAGTAAGTTGGTGTTTTTATTTGTGGTGTAAAATCATACAATAAATATTGCGAAACGGTATCGGTGGTGTTAACTAAAGTAGTTGTTCTTTTTCTCACGGGGACGTGTGTAGAGGTCTGTGTCCGGGTCGCTGAGAAAAACAAGTGACTTATACTAGCCGGTTCGCCGAACGGCCGGTCGACGTTTCCAGGCGCGGATGTCGCGCTCCGGCGTCGTCCGTCGTCGATTGGCGGTTTGATTGAGAAGTCACGGCGCGGCGTCCGCCCAAAGGCCGTTTGAATTCAAACAGATATTGCGAGGGACCGCGTCAAGTTGACAGTGGAGGTTTCGAGGACAGCGACCCTCTCTTTAAGTGCCAGAAGATCGGATCTGAGATACGCATTCTCTGACATAAAATCTTTAATCTGAATAGATAGCGTATCTAAGCTAGCTTTGAGTACGCCATGCTTTCTATCCTGAGAAAGGCCAGATGACTTTAGACTAGCTAACATCTAAGTTTGGGCTTCTTTGATTTCTGAGATAACCCTACGGGTGCCGGTGCTCATCTTTCTCAGCCTTGTAAATAAAGGTAGGCAACCAAAATCACAGGTGTGCATGTGGGATAGCAGTAAAGTAAAGTAGAAGAGGTAAGCTCAGCTCAGCGAAGTAGTGACGTCAGCAAACAAAGTTAACAGTATACCTTAGTACCAGTAGACAGCTTGTAGCACAAACAGCTGACAGACAGGAATGAAAAAAGATAATGATAAGAGTGAACTTACTTGAGACGACAAAAGTTGAAGCACGAAGTAGGATTGACGTACACAGCAAACACAAACGCAAACAGGAGCACGGTTTAACTGAGAAAATACAGACTAGACTGTCAAAGAGAAATTAGAGTTAAAACTGTTGAAAAATTGATCCAAGCAGTGCAAAGTGGAGCAACATGTAACACTCTGTTATCAAAGTTGTTTAAAATGTATTAAATATAAAATTAAAATTATACATTTATAACAATTGTAGGATTTTATAATAGGTAATAATAACAACCGTACTCAGGTAACTAGCTAGGTAGCTATGTAAAAAGCATAATAATATAACATATCATGATGCTGTAGTACCTTTACTTTTTGCGTTAGTGTATCACGTCATGTTACATTTGACAAACATATTATAATTTAATAAATTTATTTAAATGAGATAGTATTTTGATTAATAATACTATAGTTACTTTATTCTACCTACTGTAATATTTGTTAAAAAAAAAACACCTTGGTGGGGCCTCAATCTATCCACTTTGCTTTTTGTTTTTGGTCGCTGCATATAGCCCTAACTGGGTGGGCGCTAAGGAGAGACCGTGTTTCCTCTTGTCCATTTTTCCCTTGTCACCTTACGAGTTCACCCGGCTATATCACTCGGCAGCTTTTCCCTGACCAAGCATACGGCA